GGGGGGGGGGGGGGGGGGGGGGGGGGGGGGGGGGGGGGGGGGGGGGGGGGGGGGGGGGGGGGGGGCGTACTCATTTGTTGTTGCCGTAGTCATTTGACCATTGACCACGCGTCCCTTTCGAGACGGGGGAGGGGGGTATACTCATGTAATCGCATGCCGTAGTCGTTAGACCATTGACCTCGCATCCCTGCGAATGACAGGACGGAGCGACAAGCCGGGTTTTCGCCAGACCAGGCTCTCATGTCACATGTCACGAAGGGCGAAGCGCCGTGAGATATTCGGCGAGTCGCATGAAGGGTGCGCTGCATCCTGCTAAGGGTGTTCGGCATCTTGTACTTACTTGCTTGCATACGGATGACAGCTGCGTACGACTTACTGTACTTTCTGGTGCTTTCAGTCCCAGAGGCAGCTATGAGCACTGCGTAACTGCCTCGAGGGTGCTTGACCAATTAAATCCAACGTGGTGCGATCATCCCCTTTGCGCGGAGTGAAGGTTCTCGACCCCACACAACATGATCTACTCGACCACCCTTGTGGCTACAAGAGCATGGGGTGGCAAAAACAAAACAGGCACGCTGTTTGCTGAACCACCCAATACCATACCACATACCATACCACATACCAAGCCGTCCCAAACCATACTACTTCTATACCATACCATACCTCCATCCCATCCCATTCCATCCGATACCTGCTTGGCGAGGGCGATGGCGATAGAGTCTCTGTAGGGTGCCTTGGCCTTGCCCCGGCTGCCCTTAGGGCGGAACGTGGGGCCCAGTACGTCAGCAACCACCTTGACGGGGGGGAAGTACTTCCACGCCGACACCGGCTCTCCGATTGCCTGTCATGTCATGTCATACAGTGCCATGTCATACAGCAGTGTCATGTCATGGATCATGTCATGAATCGAAGACCCACGAGGTATTGTGTTGTTTGCATTGGATACATCACTAGGCTAGGCCTTTGTCGATCGTCTCATGGGTCATGCCATGGGTCGATCCTCAACATACTCCGTTGTGTTCGCTGGAAACAGCAGCAGGTACTTGTGATCTACGATATCTGCAAATAATCCCGTTCCAAGAACACTCAGAGAAGCATCTGGAGCTCCCAAGGCGCTGCGCGACCTCCAGCAGCGCTCGAAAGGTGACACCTGGCCTAACCCGCTGACAATGTTAATGTTCAAGTTGTCAAGGTGACACCTTGCCCCTTTCCTAACTCTGAACACATGCTCCGATAACTGCTAATGTTTGAGATTTTCGAATTGTGGGCCGAAGAGAAATGCCGCGCGAACTACTCCGTTAAGAAGAGAAACACGC